TTTAAGTAAATTCGTTATTCTATAATTTATCAACTAAATGTTCAGCAGTTTAAGTAAATTCGTTATTCTATAATTTATCAACTAAATGTTCAGCAGTTTAAGTAAATTCATTATTCTATAATTTATCAACTAAATGTTCAGCAGTTTAAGTAAATTCGTTATTCTATAATTTATCAACTAAATGTTCAGCAATTTAAGTAAATTCATTATTCTATAATTTATCAACTAAATGTTCAGCAGTTTAAGTAAATTCGTCTTTTTTCACTTTTATAGGTCTCAGATGCCACTAAAGAAAGATATTGACGACTTGACGGACTTGGACGACAAAGGTCCAGACATAATTCCTTCTAGGACATTTTACAGGGCCTCTTATCCAGGTAAGATAGACATAGACAGATTTACAGAACGATATACAGATAGACAACAAACAGTGACTTTAATAAATAGAAAAGATTGAATTGTAAATGATAACTGAAGCGCAAATAATTCAACTCTAACAATTAATACAGGAAAAACAATCGATAAGCTTTGACAAAATCTTTTGTAAATACTTCTAGTTGAGGTTTAGATTACGTTTCAGAATATCCCGAAGAGGGAGACGACCGATGTCTACAGCTGAACAGTACCATGGAATCATGCTACAGTACTCCAGATTCGAAATCTGGTAACCTGATCATGGAGACCACTTATACTACCACTTGTCCCGTTGGCGTACCAGCAGACAGAGTTGAAAGTTTTTACCCCACACACTCTCCTAGTAGAGGGCATATAAGTGGCATTGATGCGTCAAACAAAACCACTAATCTAAACAAGGTAAGTCCCAGTGTAAACTATGTTTGTTTGTTCGTTTATAAATATAAGTTATTTATATATATATAGCGTGTTGTAAACCTCTGCTAGAAATTTTTATTCTAAAATCGTTTTAATAAGTAGATACTTAGTCTGCTAAGTTACCAAGTTACTTTTTTTTTAAACAAAACTTAAAGGTCCTTCCGCACAATCTCTGGCTTGGATGTTAAGGCGCAATCTGCAAGTCGCGGGTTCGAATCTCTGTCACCGAACATGCTCGCTATTTCAGCCGTGGGGGGCGTTATAATGTGATGGTCAATCTCACTACTCGTTGGTAAAAGAGTAGCCCAAGAGTTGTCGGTAGGTGGTTTTGACTAGCTGCCTTCCCTCTCGTCTATCACTGCTAAATTATGAACGGCTAGTGCAGATAGCCCTCGTGTAGCTTTGCGCGAAATTCGAACCAAACCGAACAATCACCTTAGGCGTACATTCCCTTTAATGGACTATAGATGATTGTATTCAACCTTGGCTTAATTATCTTTTAATATTAAATTACATAAATATTGATACGAAGTGCTTACTTAGCAGAGTTTTGCTAAGGGGTAGGTTTTATCGAACTTGCGATTAACTATTCTCTACTGGAGCGAAAATAAAAAAAAAACATTTCTAAAAAAAACCAAAAAAAAAAACAGTAGTTTTACGTTAGTCAAATGTAAGGAAAAAACTCCGCGAGACGGAGTACAGTTGTAGCAAAAAAAACCGTAAATAAAGTACATCCTATATCAGTTTTAATGTTTGCATCATTAATGAAATATTTAATTATTTCTTATAAACTAAATTTATTTCCATAATTTAAAAAATCCATGAGTTTGTTTGGGCTATCTGTGCTCTGCCCACCACTGCTATCGAAACCCGGATTCTAGCGTTTTAAGTCCGCAGACATACCACTGTGCCACTGGGGGGCTCCATGAGTTTAAACCTAGAATTGTGGAGGGGAAGGGGACCCCATAGGCTTTTTAAATGTATTTTCATAAACTAAAAGGTGACTGTAAAAATAAAATGTTTTATAGTTAGCTCGTCATATCTAACAAACTGTACGGCATAGAAAGATATTAAGGCTATCATGGGGATTCAAATGTCAAAATTGCCACATGTTGTCACCAGAGACGCCGCTATGGCTTATTTCGTGTGTTTTCGGTGGGTTTAAATGAGCCTGTCGAACTACAGACACATAAGCTTACTAAATACTTTAAGTAAACTTATGGAGAAACAAATCTCCAACCAATTACTTAATCAACATCCTAAAGAACATACAAAATGCAAGCAGAAGAGAAAGACAAACGACCGATCACTTAGTCGGGCTCACTGAATCTATTTTCTAAGGATTTAATTAAAAACACTCCACCATAGCCGCGTATCTAGATGTAACTAAAACGTTTGACTCCGTATGGCATGACTCAATCAGGTATAAACTAAATTCTTACAGAATCCTCACTCCCATCATAAGATGGATACCAAGCTTTTTAACCGACTAAAGTTATAATCAACCAAAATTTATCAGAACTCTTTAAACTCAGAGCCGGGGTCCATCACGGATCCGTCCTAAGCCAACTACTATACATCATATTTGTTAATGACAGCCCCCCCCCCCCATCATACACACTAGCATCACCGTACGCAGATGACATCGCTGTGTGGAGTACATCCCGTGACCCTCTTCTTGCAACAAAAAAAGTCCAGAACTCACTTAACAAGATATCTCGCTGGAGTAAGAAATGGTGTGTTACACTAAACCTCACCAAAATGGAAACAATCTTATTTCACAGGAAAATAGGCAAAATGCCAAAAAGTTAAACTTCATCTACAAAATTCCCCATTACACTTTGAAAAACCATTAAATTATTAGGTACTACCCTAAATCATTAATTTAGCCATTTAAATAACATACTAAACTCCGCAAGCAAAATAATAATTTACCTCCATTGAATTGGAGGAATAAACAAAGGATGTAACAGTAAAACCATTATGACTATATACAAAGCATACGTTAGTCCTCTCTATAGATATGGCTGTGCTGTAACATGCATCAACATGCCAGCACAACAAAATCAAGCCACAGAGATAGCTTACTGACTGCCCATCTACACAACACATGTCTATGAGGATCAATATCAAGTCTGTCCACCAATAAAACAATGAATACAGTCATTAACATCTCGATTTTACAAAAACAAAAACAAAAAAAAAGTCTCTAGGAATACTCAAATAGTTGAATTCCCAATTCTTGCTGCTACCCCAAACCCTGGCAACAAAATATATCTCACCAATGAATTTCATAATCAATCTGAACAACAACTATAACTAAACACATCACATTAATTCCACAAGAACAAACTTAGAACTCGAAGCAAAATATTTCTATAACTAATCAATTCATTTTTTTAATTATAATAAATAATTAAAAACAACGTTTTATTTTATTCAAATGAAGTAATGCGACAATGGGGAAAGTATAAAATAGTCTTGTAAGTTACTCCTGAGGATGACGTAGATCACGTCGAAACATGTACTTGTAGAGAGATATTTTAAAGTGGAAGCCGTACGGCTTCAAGAAAGTTTATACTGTGTAAATATAAAACGTTGTTTTGATTATTTATTATAATTTTAAAAAAAAATTAAATACAAGTGCAAGTAGTGCATATTTATAATCAATTCATGTTCAATTATATACTACTAATTAACATTCTTACTGTACTTTACCAGCACAGTCTGGCATGTGAAAGTGGGTTTTCTCCGGGCAATCCGGTTTTCCCCTACATCAAAATTCCACAAGGCAGGGCATTGGATCTTAATATCCCCCGAAAAGTGCCGTTAGCCCTCTAGGAATTTTAATGAATGTTAAAACATTTTAAAACAAAACTTTAAAAAGTCTGTAAATCAAAATTTCATTAAATTCTAGCAACAATCAGTTTTAAAAAATCACTTCTTTATATTTTTCCACTTTGGAAAGTATTCCCGAAATTCAGATATTTCTTAACTATAAAAAACCAGATGAAATGATTTATTTCAGCCTATATCTTTATACAAACCGGAACTGATGTGTTTGATCCACTTCTTGGTCTCCTGTTCGTCTTCGTCATCAGCAACTCCCACATACCACGTGACGTCATCATCAACGCAATCCAAACATCACCACCTGTTTCTCATTCTCTCCCCTCTCTTAGTCGATCGCTCTCTTTTGCACTGTAGCTCTGATGGCTCCTTTGATATAACAAATCAAAACATCGCGCCGAAAGAAACCACAATACACTCAAATTAAAACAAACCATGATTTTTAGCCCTTTTAGCCAAAAAACTCACTTTTCATTATCGGGATGAAAAGAAATAAACATGTTTCTGAACATCCCGGTTGTCTTCCCAATCTTCGGAAGATGTCAAATCGGAATTCCTACCAAGACGATTCGATTCGTGCAACATATGCTATCAGATAGCAGCCTACAGTATACACACAACTTCAGGCACATAACCTCTCCTTCTTTCGTCCGACTTCCTGTTTCTGTCTCCAGGCATAGACGGCTTTTCCGGTCATCTTGAAGTTCACATCAACACTACACCTTAAAGACTTACTTTTCCACCACGAAAGTTTTCAAGCATACAAAATTCCGGCTAATTGCCCAAAATTCTCCTACCACTTTAAAACTTACCAAGTTCTGCTAGCGGGGTAAAGAGAAACAACAGTTTCTGAGCACCACTGGTTATCACTCCGGGCCTGAGAGATTTTAAACCAAACCAACTGCCAAGATTAGATTAGATTATGCAGCTTATTCAAACAACATGAAACTGACAAGGATGCAATGTTGAGGCAGCTCTCGGGAAATATCATAGCTTGCATAACATCCACAGAGGGTCTTTTTCCAGTGTTGCTGTGTCCAAGTTCATAAATCAGTTTTGGGAGACATGTTGCACTGAAATTATCATAAAGGTCAACCATGTCGTAGCAGAACAGGTCAGCACATTGGTCTATTTGTTTTCCAATGTTTGGATTTGCCAATTTCAACTGTTAATAAGGTTCTTCGGTCAATTTTGCAAATGTCTTCTTACAAGCTGGTATCATGATAAACCACTAAAGGAGACGAGGTTAACACGACGTGATGATTTTATGTTTCAGGTTTTGGCAGGATATGAAGTTAATGATCAATAGCCTTCCAATATCTTATGGACTGATGAAACACACTTCACCTTTCTAAAATTATCAACACACGAAAACGCATTAGCTGATCAGAGACTAATCCACGTGTAACATTTCCTAATCACCTCCTTGATGCTACGATGACAGTATGATATGATTTCACAGCTGACTTTGCTATTGGACAATGCTTCTTTTTTTTTTTTTGAAGAACTATCAGCACATGAAATGCAAATTTTCACAGTC